ATGGAGGCTTTTTTTCATAATTAATGCTTTCATTTACAAGATGGTCAATTTTATCTATTAAATCAAAACATACTTGCATGGTTGTTTAGTATTTTCTCTTTGATACACTGCTATTGATACTAACGTAATTAAGACACAAGCTCTGCTTCAAATAGGTCAGGCTAATAGGGAAGCAGACACATTACTAAACAATTACAATACAGTGTGGTGAATTCAATAATGGACTATATGATTAGCATAGTAATAGAGATATACCTAGAATATAATGAATACTATTGCCCTATGGAGCCCTGGTGATGACTGCTAACTGAAAGGTCAGCATTTCAAACCAATCAGCCACTCTTCAGGAGAAAGATATGATGATTTGCTTCTGTAAAGATTACAGCCTTGGAAACCATATGGGGCAGTTCTGCTCTGTCCTACAGGGTCACTATGAGTGGGAATAGACTCCATAGCAATGGATTATTACCCTGTGGTTTATGTGACCTCTCATAAGTGTATGATTTTATTAGAGAGCATGTTTGTTTTTACCCCAATATTTACTTAGTTATAATTTCCATAGTGACCTTTTAGCCTTTCTTTGCATATTGTGAAAGTATGTAAAGATAATTCGTAATTGCTAATCTATACCTGAGATGAAAATACCAGATGATGTTGAAAACTAAGAATGAAATAAAATACTTTGATTCCCTTTAATGTCTTTTTGTTATCTTTTTATTAGCATGTAATAAAAACTCTGAATGTAATTTACAGGGTTTCCAGGATGGAGTTAATATGTAGAATCTCATGATCATTAGAAAAATTTTTGCAGAGGCTGAATGTTTAAAATGTGACCCTCTGTAAGGTGAAGAACTCAGTTCTTATAGTTCACTTCAAATGACATAAAGATGGGATCTTTTACATTTCTATTGAGATGGTTAAATTGTCCCAATTATTTTTTAAAATACTCAATATTTACATAGTACTTCTTATAGTTAATTATAAAACTCAACATACTGTTGCATATTCTTGTCATCTGAAAAAAGTTCCCTCCAAGTAAGAAAATAGTATCAGAAATAAATGGACAAACTACATTAAGAATTCAAGTAAAGACTCCCCCCTCCTGTGACTAAATTAATTTACTTTCTGTCACTAATGAGGTAGTATGTTTTATCAGATAGATTCCATGTAGCTTATCCCTCAGACTCTTTGCATGACTTATATTCCATTGTAATTTTTTTTCCTTAGCTATTGTGGATCTGTGGAAACCCTGGTGCTGTAGTGGTTAAGAGCTTGGCTGCTGACCAAAAGGTCAGCAGTTCAAATCCACCAGGCACTCCTTGGAAACCCTGTGGGGAAGTTCTACTCTGTCCGATAGGGTCACTATGAGTCGGACTCGACTAGACAGCAATGGGTTTTTTGTTTTTATTGTGGATCTGTGAGTAAGTCTCTCCATTTTATGTGTAGAAAGACTTCTGCATGCTAAGATATGAGGTCTTAGCTCCGAGTGTGATGTCTGTGACAAAGCTCTGAATTTTGACAGCAGTATTTTGATTTGCTAAATTAACTTTCTGAAAATCACTAACTTAATTTACACCCACAAAAGATAATGATGGAGGATAAAGTTAAGAGCACTGAGGATTAATTTCAATTCATTGGTTTTAATGCATTGGCATCCAGTTTCACATGTAACATCCT